GTGTGATTTCCTGTTGGTTGGTGAATAATGGGTGATGATATTGTTGGATGATTTATGTGAGATGATTAGTTGAATTGTTGTTGTGTTAGCCTGATGCGAACCGTTTAACATGCTTTCCTTTATAATATCATGACATCTCACCCCTTTTGTTTGAGTATTACCTCTACGTGGGTAATGTGCAGATACTCCGCAGTAGGACTCAGATGTAAGTTGAAGATGGAGTCTCCTTACCTTTTTGTTATAGTTTGGCATACACTCTGATTGTAACACTAGGGAGTCGTGGGAACGTGTTTTTTTAATAATTATATTTATTTGAGATTTGTGGACATCTCCCTTATTATGTTTAGTTGTTGTTTGATGAATTACGTGGTTCTAAGATAAATGATTTTTATTATTCTGCTGCAACAAAAGTAACATTTAGACATGTTCATGTTTTCATGATTTTATAAAAATATAAGTGTTACATAGTCAGTCTGATGAGCATGCTTTGTATGTTGACCGTAACATCCTAAGTTGTGTATGTTCGAATTAATTACTCTGATGTTTTATTTAAAAATAGTACGGGGGAAATTTAGGGTGTTACACCATCATAATCTCTGTCTTCTCCACCATCCTCAAGACATAATGGATCTCTAGACTCTCTCACAGAATCTGCATTTGATGGTGACACTCATCATGATTCTCAGACTTCTGACCATCAACCTTCTAGCAAAATAGTGGTTGATCCCAAGGGCTCTACGAAGAATCTAATTTTAGTGAAGAGCCGACCCTTTTGAATACAAATTGGAATATCTTTAACTCTTGGGTAATAGAAGAACTTCAAGAAATCAAGAGTTTCTCGGATAAAGTTAAAGAGAAGTTTGTAAGTCAAGCAGAAGTAAGACTAGAAGAGAGGAAATAAAAAGAAAGGCTTGCTGAAGAAGTAAGGAAGGAAGCTGGCAGGATTGCTGCTGAGATTGCCAAGAAGGAAGCTAAAATGAAAGTCGTTACAGAAAGAGAAGTTGTCCTACAAGATGCTGTTGAAAAACATGTCTCTGATGATAATCTTCTCCCAATTATGGCACAAACATTGGTAGATTTGTAGAAAAATCAGAAAACGATTCAAGAAAGGTTGGATAGCCAAGATGAAGTTAGTCTTTCCATAAAGGATATGCTCAGTCAACTTCTTGCAAGGACTCTTTCTACTTCCTTTCCTTTGGCACTTTAGGGCTTATCCTTGTCTTTTTCGTTAGATTCTGCATTTTTTCTCCCGTGTATCTTCTATCTTATTTATAAAAGTCTTTTTGATTATGACAAAAAGGGGAGTAAAAGTAGGAATGGTTTTGATATATATATATATATATATATATATATATATATATATATATATATATATATATATATATATATATATATATATATATATATATATATATATATATATATATATATATATATATATATATATATATATATATATATAAACTCATGTTCACATTCTAACACCATATATACAAGTATGTGAAAGAAATTGCAGGATTGTTACGCTAGAAGCTTCTGGTGGTAAACATTGCAAAAAGAATTCAAGTCAGAAGAAGTAAACATGAGATATAAGCTCAGAGGGAGCTTTTCTATTTCAAGGGGAGTATTCTAAAACTTAACTTCGATATCTTTAGCACATTAAAGCATATACATTGTTTCATCAAAATACATGATTTTGTCATAATAAAAAAGGGGGAGATTGTTAGAACAAAATTTTGGTTCTGCATGTAATCTCTAGTTTTGATGATAACAATGCATATATTTTATATATAACAATTTGGTACTCTAATTTTATCTTAAGTGTGCAGATATACAGTTCTCATTGGAATCAACTTCTAGCGCAACTCAACAAGATCTTGATAGATACTAGAGTTTCTAAAGAAGAAAATATGTACTCCTCAAGAAAGCGTTTGTTTCTAAAGAAAGAATATTGAAGACTCTAATAAAATGTTAAAGTTAAAAATACATGATAAGGATCAAAGCTCAAAGTCCAAAGAAAAATGTGAAGGCCAATAATCCGTACAAACAACTCTTTCCTAAAATAGTCTAAAGCAGAAAGCTTTATAAGCTTTTACTACTTCTGCTCTCTAAGGATTCTACCGTTGAAGACAGCTAGCCTAGCTCAAAGACATTCTTATCCCTCAACGTATATCTCTTGAGGTTATAAATAGAAGACTATGTTGCATTGCAAAGAACAACGATTCACAAGTCAAAAACGCAAAAGTACATACTCTGTAAAGAATCTCAAAACACAAAGAGTCGCTGCTCATATTTGTGTAGAAATACTGTTCTTAAATTTGTTTCAACCTCCTTATTAAGAAGCATTATTGTAAACATTCTTGTAACACTTTTTTAAGTGGTTTTTCCTTGAGTAACTAAGTGTGTTAGTCAATAGACTCAAGAGGGCTAAGTTGTTGTTGAACAACTTAGAGGTTGGTTGTAAGTTTTCCTTGAGTGACTAAGTGTGTTAGTCAGTAGACTCGAGAGGGTTAAGTTGTCATTGAACAACTTAGAGATTGATTGTAATTTTTTCTTAAGTGACTAAGTGTGTTAGTCAGTAGACTCGAGAGGGATAAGTCGTTGATAACTTAGAGGTTGTTGTAATCTTGTCAAAGATTTGTGGATTAAGTTCTTGTGATAAGGCAAAATCACCTTGACGGATGGACTGGATTAGATTTGTTAACAGTGAACTAGGATAAACCTATCGTGTTCTTTCTTTATGTGGTCTATACCTTTGTTTGTGTATGTGTGTGTGTTACAAAGTCTATTGAAAAATTTGTAAAATCCAATTCAAACCCTCTTTCTTGTGTTTTTCTCAACCTTCACTCTTGACTTTCTTATCATAAAGAATTTTTTTGCTATCATCATTATTTCATGTATCTTCAAGTTTTGGTTAACTTACACCATTAAAAAGTAAAGTTGGAATGTATGAATCATTTCTGCCTAAATTTCCTACTTTTTTCCATTATGATTCAAGAAATATTTGCATTATAATTTTACAAAAATCATAATGATTATCGTTTAAACACGGTGATCTATTCACACTGCCTTCTTCTCTTAATAATGCTTTTGTAGAACAATTGTTAGAAAGATCTGGGAGAAAGTTACGTAACTATTACTCCCATGAAGATTGTAGTTGAAGTTTGATAGATATTTTTGAGCATGCAAAATGATAAAATATGAATCGTAATGTATATTTATATATTAGAGTGACTATTGTTTGTATTTCCAATTCTCATTTTTATTTATATACTTACTCTACCATTAAAAATGTGATCATATTAGTATGAGGAGCTAAACCTGATGTCCTCTTCCAATTTTCTCTAAACTTTTTTATATTTACCTTTTTTCTAAAACAAAGTTTAGTTTATAGAAAAAAAATGTATACAATAAAATAAAATAAATGGTTATATAGGTAATAATGTGGATATTATTGAATGTTTAAAAAAATAGAAAATAAAAGTTTAAAGTGTAAAGCATTATCATTAATATATTCAATGAAAAGTAAAACATAAATATGGATTATAATTATAAATATTGATATACATAAAAATTAATAAGATATTTATAATGAAAATGTATAATAAATATAATAAATAAAATTTAAAATGGAAAGAAAAATATAATTAAAAAAAACTATTTTTAAGAGTTGAATTGGAATGCATTATGAACAAAAGTAAAATTGTATTCAACACATATATAATATAACCCATTATATGCATTTATGTTATTAATTAAAATATGAGTAAAATATTGTTCAAACTATTTTAAAAAGTCAAATTATTACAATTAAATTTACATTTTATAATGCTTAATAAAAAACAAAACAATAATTGAAATGGTGTCGGGTCAGTTAGTTGCCTTTTTTATGAAAATAAAATATTATAAAAATTACAAATGATTTATAAATAGAAAGTTTCAAATAAAAAATTTATTTGAATACATTTTCATATAATAAATTTTAAGTATTTTATCATTTTCTTTGACTTTTTGGACATACAAAAAATGCAATTTTAAATAATGTTTGATGAAAATTATTTGAATTGCATATACTTTTTTTTAAATTATATGATTTTAACTATCTTTTAATCGTTATATATTTATGTTAAGAGGTGTCAAATTTAATCTTTTAATTTATAAAAAAAAGTGAGTTTGAAATAATTTCTAAAAACATTTTTAAAAATAAAAATAAAAGTCAATTTTTTTTTTTTTAAAATCTATAAGAAAGAGACCTATCTTCTTATACAAAATTACAAAGCAATTTTACAACCTCAATATAGAAGTTTCATATTTACATATATTAAGAATTATGTATTATGTTGATTTTATTTCATAATATTATTTGCTAAAACATTATTTCAACTATTTATATAGTGATATATGACCATATATATTTATATAATTTTTTAACAATATTTATAAATAATAACCAAATTATAATAATCACAATATATTAAATTGCAATCATTTATAATATACGTTTTTATTCATAGTATGTTTCCCTTTGTAGCTCAAGTATAATGTCTAGAATTCAAGTAATTATTCAATATATGCCTATTTGTTACAATTTTTTTTTAAGTATTTAAAAAATTCTTTAGTTTCAAATAAAAAATAATTTAAATATTCTTTATGAAAAAAATTTTATTCTTTTATTATGACATTTGTTGGTAGTAGATTAACATGAACTACGTGAAGTAGCGTATTTATATTGTTTCACATAGTAAACAAACACAGCCGTTGATTTGAGATCAAACGTTTTAAAGTATATATCAGTAAACTTAATTAAAACAATCTCATCCATTAACTTGAGATTTAACGGCTGAGATCTAAATCTATCGTAAACGAAAAAAATCCAATTCTAGCAGCAGTCATAACTCTTACTATAAAACCCATAAGACATTGGGAAAAAATACTGCAACAATTGATTCATCGTTTCTAATTCTTCCCAATTACTTCGCAAAGTGATTACTCTGCAAAGCATGACAAGAAAGAAGGTGAAACTCGCGTTCATCTCCGACGATTCCGCGAGGAAAGCAACGTACAAGAAAAGAAAGAAAGGTATTCTCAAGAAGGTGAGTGAACTCACCATTCTCTGTGGAATTCCCGCTTGCGCTATAATTTCGAATCCTTTTGATTCAAAAACCGAAGTGTGGCCAGATCTAGACGGAGCGAAACAGGTTATTGAACGGTATCAGAGTTCGTCTGTGATCGATGGAACGAAGAATGTGAACCAAGAGAGTTTCCTTTTGCAGAGGATTGCGAAAGCTAGGGAGCATCTTAAGAAGCTTAGGAATGAGAATCATGAGAAGGAGATGAATGTTCGGATGATTGAATACATGAAGAAGAAAGATTTGCCGGATGATGTTAGTGTTTCGGATTTGAAAGAATTTGAGAAATTAATCGAGAGAAATCTGGAGGAGATTGATAACGAAATTGCATTCGATTCAGTTCATTAGATTAAGTTTGATTTATCGAGCCGAGCTGATGCGAATTCGAAAATGTAATTGTTGTTTAGGGAAATTATGATGGTTGTTTAGAGAAATATTGTTTTTGTTGTATTGTTAAGAGCATTTGAATAAAACTTGTGGATTTGAATAAGTTTATTATTACTGTAAAGTTTTCTTTCTGTTTAACTTTTATTTTTTAATTTATTTGGTAGTTCTAGGTAATAGGAATTTATAGCAACATTAGAATCGTAATTAAATCGTGATACTATTTCTAATTTTATGAGAATTTGGAAAGTTGAAAATTACATTTTTTAGTGATAGAATTAAACGACATTTATTTGCAAGATTTTATTGTGATTGTGTACTCTAGTAATTGTTTAGACTCTTTAGGTTAGAAATTTTCAATCTTAATTATAGATATTAGGAATTAGGCCTTGAATAATCCTGTGAATTTTCATTGTAACTCTAACATAGGGTATTACAATTGTTAAGGAACGGGGCATTTACAAGAAAAAATATCAATTGATTATATATATTTTTTGACTGGAAAATCAATTGAAATTTGTTCCTAATGCATTCCCCCATTAAGTCAAATCATGTATGTATTTTTTTGAGTAGTAGTCAAATCAGATTTAATGATTCTGTCTTTTAAACTTATTTTAAAGCAAAAAAAATTGGAGAAAGAAAATTTATTATTATTTAAAATAATATTAGTATTCATTTTTTAGACGATAATTAAATTTTGTAATGTAAAATATTTACCATTGAATTGATATATTTTGACCTTATAACAATATAAAAATCAGTAATACTGGTTATTGTTTTTGTTAATCTTATTGCAATATAAATCATTTTTTTATGTAGGTAAGTTAATACTATATATGGTAAGGAAATATCTCACTATTGGATAGTACTGAAGGAATAAATAATGTACCTGTTCAAAAGTTTGTTGATGATAATTTTTTTACAGTGTTTGTATACTAGACTCTATTAAATTAAAAATTAATATTTAAATTAAAGATGTTTTTAAGTGTAAAAATTAAAATTAAAAAAAAAAAGAAAAATCAAAGTTGTTTATCATACACCTCATAAAATGTCTATTTTTATTTATTTTTTCTTCTGTTAAGTGAATGCTCTCATGTTTTAGTTTTTTTTTTTTAAATAATATATTTTTAAAATTATTTTCCGGTTCAAATACTGATCTCATAATTTGATATGTATATTGGTATAATTTTCCTATTTTAAAAATATTATTATAATTCAAAATCTAGAAACATAAAACCATAATACATTACTCATTTTTTTAATAGAGAATGGATTAAGAAAATTACACCCAAAGATAGAAAATATAAATAAGATATATTTAAACTGTATAGAATGTAATAATTATTAGAACAAGCAAAAATATTTATAAAACAAAATAGGAAAATATGTATAAAACAAAATAAGAAGAAATATTATTCTAAAAATTTGGCAGTTGTAAAGAGACATATAGCAGATGTATTATTCAACAAATTTTAAAGTTATTCTTAATTTGGAATTATAATTTTCTTACAATATTGTCTCTACAATTTTCTATACTCCTCTTTTCTTTACAATAACTCGATCCTGCTTCCGCTAAATACAATCTTTAGTATCATCACCTGGGCTTACCAAATCTAAGGTATATTTCTTCTTTACATAATTTATTATGAAAATTAGTGGTTAAATTTATGTTGTGAGAGGTTGATTATGCTTAGACAAAACTAAGTAGGTAACTTTTTCTCATAACATTTTATTAACAAGCAAACAACCTTTTCAAAGTGTTTTTCAAACTAAAAAGTGTTTTTAGTGTTTTCTTTCACATTCATCTTTTTTTCCAGGGAAGGGAGTTGTTGATGATTTCAAAAAAGAAATTTTTTGCTAAAAATATTTTGACATCTTTGATTTGGGAGAAATCCTTCTATCCCTTCGAGTTGATAGTTAAACAATTTGTTGTTTGCTTAAATGACTTTTAATTGGTTGTTGTTTCAGTTAACATTATGTTATGAGTCCAAGTTATCTATTTAGAGTTAACTTTGCATATCAACCAATCACAACATTCTTAGCCTGCTGCTTTATGGATTCTGATGATGATAATCATCAAAATAATTTAATAAAAAAATGAAGAATTAGTTGAGTATCCAAAAAATATGGATAAACTCAACATATGGGTTATACCCTCCGTTCCTTCTAATCAAATTTATAGATTTGATAAGATAGATGTTTTTTCTCGTTTTGCTGTTAAAACTTTAGAGCAAACGATTCAAATTTCTAAAGAAACTCAGACAATAAAACTGTTAACTAAAAAAGATTTGAAACCTTTTAAAAATTATAATTTTATCCATATTAGATTGGTTCAAATTGATTTAAAACCTTTAACATTATTAGGTTTAAATTCTAGCATAATGACTTATGTTATAGATGGTAGATGTAAAGATTTCAAACAATCTTTAGTTGCTATGGTTGAGACAAGTCTGTGTCATGGACCAGTTTACTTTGATGTCTCACCTAACTTAAATCTATCTTTATCTGATAAAAATTTATTAGATGCTATGCAATTAACAGTTCATACTAATGGTTACAATTTTAAACTTGGAAGTGAAATCATAGCAATATGCTATAGAATCTACTATAAGGTTCTTACTACGCTAAATCCTAAAGCAAAGCATTTATCATTTCCTGGAACAACTACTTTGGTTCAAACAAATTTATTAACATCCAATGTTGCAACCAATAGGTTAATAAAGTGGGATGAAATAAACTTCCCAAAGACATGGTCTCTCCCCCAGGAAATAGATCCTGAACCTATCCTTAATAAGGATATAAACCAAATTATTCAGGCTACTGAAGGGGATTTAGAAATAAACTTCACTTCAAAAAGAATAACTAGAATACCCAGGTCTCTATCTGCTAGGCACTCAGTTAGTGAATTTTACACAGCTCCTAGGCAATTACCTAGACCTTCTACTTCTCAAATAAGAGAAGAAATAGAAGCCGTTGAGAATATAAGACTAAGCGAAAATAGAGTTCCCCATGGAATTTATCAAAAACCTCATACTCCAAGAGTAGAATCACCTACTCAGTCAGATATGGATTTTCATTTATAATGATAGATTACTCCCCTGGTAGTAAGATGAGACAACTCGTCAATGACGAGTTTCAACATGAGAGATACTCTCAATTTAGAAATTGGTTTTTTAAAAAATTTTCAAAACCTGAATTAGCCAAATTCAAAGATGAGTATTACAATCAAATGAACCTTGAGCAGGATTTCGTTCCTTTTGTTAAATGGTTTGTTAATTATTTCATAAATAAAAAGCAAGAAGAAATTCTTGTGTTACAACGACCTTGGAAAAACATTAGAGGAGAAGTAATGGAATCTCTTTTTCCCCCTGAACAAACAATAAGTTTGAGTCAAAATACTGAAGCTACCCCTTACCTTAGTCTTCAGTTACAAATAGTTGAACAACGTCAAGTTACTCTTAAGGAATTAAACTTAGTCATCAGGTCTCAAAATTATACCAATGCTTACCTTGTTTGCTTAGGAGAACAATTTATCTCCATAGAAAAATATCTCTTATCCATAAAAGATCTTTTAGAAAAACAAATAGAGCGTCAAGATATCATTATTGACCACATAAATAAACCTAAAGACCAAATATCCACATCCACTATTTCGGATGTTCCTATAGTGCAACCTCCTGTTTCCATAGAAGGATTTAAAATGGAAACCAATGGAGAAGAATTTGTCCGTATTTTAGAACAAAAATTAAAGGGACTTAATATCACTGTCATGACCCATGAAGATTATTCTGAGGATAATAATGATGACCATATTGACCAGCTTTCTGATATGTTTGCTAATTTAGACATTAGTAACCTTGATATTAATAATACTAATAGTATAAACCCTGTTTATTCCCCCAAGACCTATAGAAAATATTATTACAAGCGTCCCTCACCGCAAGATTTTCTTTTTGAGGAATCAGAACCTTTCCAGAATTCTTATTCAGGAAAAGCCATTTATGAATAGAATGTTGATGGTCTTAATGACAAACAAATTATAGATACCATCCATAGGATGATCATGTACTCTAATGTTTGCAAGCAACATGGAAATTCTGATAGTTCAATAGTGTCCTTTATAACAACAGGATTTGTTGGCCAACTTAGAGGCTGGTAGGATCATTATCTCACTGAATCTCAAAAATTAGAGATTCTTAATCACAAAAAAATCGTTAAGAACGAACCAAGAACTAATACGAGCACTATTGTGGCTACGACCACCACAGGAGAAGAAGATGCAGTGTATACACTGTACTGTCTTTCCATCTTACAACATTTTGTAGGAACCAATGTCCCCATTGGAGAAAAAATTCAGACACTTCTCCAAAGCCTTAGGTGTCCTTGTCTTACCCACTTTAGATGGTATAAAGATACTTTTCTTTCAAGAGTTTATCAATTAAACAATCCCAATTATTTGCACTGGAAAGCAAAATTTATTGATGGATTACCCCATTTCTTTTCTTAAAAGGTTAGACAATCTTTAAGACAACAAAATGATGGAATAAATATAAATTATTCTGACCTTACTTATGGCCAAATAATTAATACTTGTGTTAATGAAGGTTTAACTTTATGTAATGACATAAAGCTTAGAAATCAACTTAAAAAGCAAAAGTTTTCTGAGAAACACCAACTTGGTGAATTTTGTGAACAATTTTCTTTTAATCTTGGAAAATCTCCAGGTAATAAAAAGAAAAAAGGAAAAATTTTCCGCAATAAACCTTATAGGGAAAAGCAAAAAAATTCTTATAAAAATTCTTATAAGAATAAGAAAAGGGGTTACTACAATAAGGGTAGACCTAAAGAAAAATCTTTTGACCCTAAAGGTAAAAGAAAATCCAAGAAGCTTGACATAACATGTCATAAATGTAGCAAACCTGACCATTATGCCAACCAATGTTTGACTAAAAAAGCTCTTAATG